AAAAAAAAAAAACCCAGAAAAGAGAAACCAAACCCAGCAAGGAAAATGCTAGGAAGAACCCAATAAGTAGCTAGTAGCTACACATATTAACAGCGCCACAACCAGGCAGCCTATCAATACATCCATATAATCTACTTCCCAACTACACCAAGTCAGAGTTATAGGCATATAAATCGTAATACTCAACAGCAATCGCATCTCGTTCCATAACCACAAAGAGACAATTAAAACAAGCCATGACCCATTATTGAAATAAATTCCCAGTCAAATTAGAAGATACCTGCTTGGCCTTGTAACCAAGGCGGCGGGCCTTGTCGGGGCGGGTCGGGTGTGTGACCCGCACAACCGCAGGAAGCTGACGATACTCCCAACAGCGTACCCTCTGCAGGAACCGCATCACATCAGATTGCTTTTTCTTCCATAGCTCCGAAACGTATGTGTAGGCACCTGCAAACAAGTCGGCAAAATCGTAAAATCAAAGAGTAAATAAAAAAAATATGAAACGATTGAAATGGACATGAAGTTATTAATGAGACAGATGATTGAGAGATCTACCCATTGTCGTCGCCGCCGCTACACTGAGCTCTGGGGTGGCAGCTGAAGCTTACGAAGAGTTGATAAGAGTGTGGCGTCTAGGGTTTTGGTCACACTTTTAGGGAGGAAGACCAAAGAATATACAAATTGACCCCGATATTTGATGTTTATTGCACTTTGAACCATATAGAAATCGGGTGAGCATGTGTTCCAAAGGGCAAAATGGTCGGCTCAATGGTTAATAAATTGGGAACAATTTTTAATGAATAAATAAACTTTTTTAATGAATAAATAAATTTTATAAACATTATTGGAATTCATTTCTATAACTTTTTTTCCACTTTGTTTCACCCTACCTCGATGATAAATTTTATTCTAATTTCTTTTTTTTTTTCAACGGTAATAGTAATTTTTATAACACTCAGAAAATCACATCCGAACACCCAAATGAGTAGAAGACTAACAACCTCCCCAAACAAGGAAGTTGAAACCAACGGGAAAACTTACAAAAATGATACACTACAAGACCTTCAAGACTAACAAAAGAGCCACAACAGAGGATGAGATCGACTCTCTGACTGGTTACACAGACACCTTTCTTTGATGGTCGACTTGCGCCTCAAGAGCACCTTCAGCGCTCTTGCACTTCATCTCCTTATGGTCATCGACCCCCCTCAATCAACTATCCACGAGTTAGAACAGATCATGTCTCATTATTTATGCGGGCATGGGTGAAGGTTCCCGAAGGGGGTGCCAGGTCTACTAGGTGAAGTGAAACTTCTTTTGTCGGCCTTTTTTCTTAGGGTGGCCTTGGGATCCGTCGTTTATCTGATGTAGTCACCGCCTTCCCTTATATCATGAAGTCAAAGTCGTTTTAGGCTCAGTACCTTCGTGTGAAGTACTGCCCTAGAGGTGCCAGTCATCCTTATAGGGTGACGACCACCGCTCGTGACAGTAGACAGTGGAGGTGACTCACCAGGGTAGGTAGGCGCACTCAAAAGCACATCTTCTTGATGCTGGGTGAGGGAGATGCTAGTTTTTGGGACGAGTGGTGGTTTGGCGAGGGGTCTTTTCGAGCACAAGGCATTCACTCACGCTCTTTTTTTGCGGTGAAGGACCTGTGGTCTGATGGTGGGATAGGGATAGGTTAGAGAGGGTGTTGGGTACTAAAGCGGGTTTTAGTGACCAAGATTTAGATCAGAACCAACATACTCCCATCTCGAAGGATGATTTAGACAGTATGAGGTGGAGACTTACATCTTCGGGTGCATTTTCTACGACCTTGGCTTAGGGGGAAGTTCGATTAGGTGGACGGCCTAACCATCTCTTGGGGGCTATTTGGACCTGCTTACCCCAACCATCTATGTTTTCTTTTGACGCCTCATTCTGGCCAAATTTCGATTGACGTTGTGATGCAGGCGATGAGGTTTTCCTTCCCTTCGCGGTGTTATTGTTGTGTCGAGACCAAACATTTCGAGATTGAGACTTTTTTCCATATGTTTTTTAGAGAGCGAGGTTGCCAGGAGAGTGTGGGAGCATTTCACCACTTATACTCATATATCCATTCCCACCACATACAAGTTTTTTGAGCTTCTGAGTTTTTCCTCACAGAGCACACACTTTAGACACGTGGGCTTCCTCATTCCTTGTCTTATCTTGTGGCCCATTTGGATAGAAAGGATGCTCTCACATTATTCTGAAGGTTGAGCGACATCTCTCTCTCCACACAGCTCTGAGCACTCACTCCTATAAACTGGACTGGTTGCACCCCGCCCCACTGTATCCGTTGTCGCCTATCCAACACCCACGCCCAGAGTCGTTGTTTGGTTGAGACCCGATTCCCCTTAGGTTAAGCTTAACACTGATTGCTTTTGACAAACTTACTGGAGCCGTCGGAGGCAGTGGTTTGATTAGGGACCATAATGGAGATCTCGTTACCGCCTTCCACGCCCCTCTTCAGATCACCTTGAGTTATGATGCGGAGGTTCAGACACTTCAGATCGGTCTTCAGATCGAAACCTCTATCTCTTCTCATATTTTGATAGAGCCGGACGTTGCCGCTGTCGTCACCCCCTTGACCTCAGACCACCAGAGTTTGTGGCATATTCAACACTCACTCATGCGCATCATATCTTCAGTCAATTAGCTACCAGATATCACACATCTTCTGCGAGGAAATCGACCTTCTGACTTCCTCGCTTACATCGATGTCTCTACCGATGCAAGAACTTATTTTGAAATGTACTTATAAATTAAGCTAATTAAGCGTTTTATAATTTAAAAAGTTTTAATAATAATGATAATAGATAAAAGTCCAAATCTATATTGAATTTAACGAAGTAGAATAATTTTGAACTTTTGACACATATGATCTTAGAGAGAGATTTTAGAATAGGAAATCACGGATATGGTTATTCGTTGGGAAACTCACTAGCCACATTTTGCATGGAACACGTCTCACCCCCAAAATCTATAAAACAACACGTTTTATTACAAAAATATTGTTACCGATAAAAAAAAATGTTTAAAAATAAAAGAATTATCCAATGCCATAATAAATCATCAAAAATCTTTTCCACTTTTTCGATATAATATAATCCGCACAAGCAGCGTCACAGGTTCACAAAACGTCTACATAAATATAAATAAATAAATAAAAAGAAAGAAACATCACAATTCCATACACATCACTTCACGCACAAATCGAAAGAGATAAGGACGACATGCGCCGGTCATTCGGTGGTGGCGGCGGCGGCAGCATGGGTGGAGGCAGCGGCGGAGCCGGTGGCGCCATGTTCAGAACCGCCC